AGAGCTGAGTCCTCCCTGCCTTGGATATTCTGAGCGATCTCACAAAGGCACAGCTTTGCTCTAGGATTGATCCAACACCAACATGACCTGCAGATTGTGCCTGGGCAGCAGCAAAATGTGGCAATGCCGAGACATGGGCTGTCTGACCCCTCCATACTGCTCTAACAGGGTTGTCAGGTGCATCACTGAGAGCCACGGGAGGTGGCATTGTCTGCTGACCTGCCTGGTTCAGGCTCAGGTCAGAAAGGCGTCTGTCTCAGCCACAAAGCAAGCCAGATGCCCGAGGGGCAGCTCAGCTCACCCCATCCCATCCCACCATTCCTGCCCCGAGGCCTGGCACTCACCCACGGAGCCATAGCTGTGGTGCAGAAGGTTGTTGTACCAGCCGTCATAGCGCTGGACCTCCCAGGAGATGCTCTCCTGGGCTCCTGGAAGAGACAATCCACTTCATGAGCAGCAAGAAAAAAGCATGAAACAAGCATCACCTCTAGAGAATTATATTTATATTGTGATCTTTTTCCATATTCTTTCTGAAACTTCCCAAATATGTAGATTTTTAGACAAGTTTTGCACTCCTTTTGAGGGACAATAGCTAAAATTAGAAATTCATGCTTGTGATTCTGATGTCCTCAGATCAATTTGGGATCAATTTTTCGGATCAGTTTTTTACCCACCAGTCTAATCTCAAAAGACATTCCTTTTCTCCTTCTCTCTCACTGGATCAGAAACATCTCCTTACTTCTGACTCCAACAATGTCCATGTGAGTCAAGGAAAGACTTGGCACTTTTGCATCAGCATTATTTGCTTCATGTTAATTTTTTTACTTTTTACTTTGCTAATACTAGCAAAGACTTCCAGCTTACAAGTTGTGTACTCGTCTCAGGTGCCATAGGACAGTCTCTCAACCTGCACTTTGCTCCAATTTTTTCTTATCTCGTCACAAACTGCATCATAGAATTTGTGTTGGAAGGGACCATAAGCATCACCTGGTTCCATTCTCTCTGCCATGAGCAGAGACACCTTCCACTATCTCAGGTTGCTTTGATATGATGTCCTGTGGGTCAGAGAAAATTCCCCTGAGGGGCATCAACTACCCAGGATCTCCCCTTGGGTTCCCTTCCCTGAAGCCACACTTACTCCCCAAAGTCCATGCTCCCAAAAGAACCACAACCAAACTCAACATCATTGCTGCAGGTTCCATCAGCCACCGGGTCTTTGGAAGCAGCAACCTGAAAATGGAGCAGAGAGGGAGGGAGCTAGAGGTCAGCTGTTCCTGGAGGCTGGAAACATGGAAAGACCAAAACCTTAGCTCCTTTTTGTGGTTTCTGCTGCTGGGTAAAACCTCACTGCTGCCATCATCCAGCAGCAGCGTCTCCTAATGTGGGCTCTGGGAAGTTGGCAGGAGTCATGTGAGGCCCCATCACCTTGGGAAAGTTCTGTCAGGATGTGTCAGCTGACCTGAGAACACCTTTCTGCTGAAGCAGGACCAGCAGCCCTGCCTTGGGGTACCCCAGTTACAGACTCACAGCTCATCATCTAGTTGTGTCTTCTCCAATACAGAAAGCCCTTCATTAAAGAAACAGGCACATTTCAGCCAGAAATTTTTCCTGCATTGACCCATCCAAGCAAATCCAGCTGTGAACATGATGGAAAAGCCTTAGCACACAGTCAGACATCCCAAAGTGTGTGAATACTGCAGACAGACAACTCGGTCCCCTCTGAGCTAATTAGATGGCCATCCCTCCTGACCACCCTTTCTCATGATGTGTTACCACCTCCTTTTCCACAAAAGCCCTGGATCCAGAACAGATCAGATTTCACTGAGAGTTGAACATTTAAAATTCCAGGCAACAGCTGACAGAAGAGAGGGATTCCCAGTACTGAATTGTGGAGTTAATATGAGTCACAAATGTGACTCTTCCACCACCACTTATCGCTGGCTTTCCATGCACAGAAATGCCAAACCTGGATTTAACTCCAAGACAGGGCTTTCCACTAAGTATGGCTCTTTGTCCCCGTTTCATGTGTGCATCCAAGGATCCAAATGTACAGTTGCAACCCCCATTCAGAGTGAGGTCAGAGATGCCACAGAGCAAAGCCAAGGCTCAAATCACATTGCCACAGCACAGATTGTCTCCCCTTTTCCCCCTGGGTCTTCTTATAGAGTTCCAGCAGAACAAGTGTTTTAAAATTCCTTCTGTCACTGAGTACATCTCCCTTTTCCTCAGGTATGGGAATTACTCTTGTCCCAAGCTGTGAGATGAAATGCCAGTTCTCATGAACCCTTTATCTCCTCATGCCCCAGAAATTAAAATCTACTTATTGCTTTATCAATCCAAGACTGGAGGTTTTCCGATCTGAATCACGGCCAATGTGATACAGTAACAGTGGTGATCTTGCAGACTGACCTTGGAAGCCCATGGGTGCAGCTTGCTGAGGGAAAGCTTGGCAAGTGTGAATTATTTCCACAGTCTCGTCAAGCTTTCCAATAATATTGTAATGATGAGCTCTCCAGACTCTGCTTTTCCACAGATTCCCTGTGCCATCTTTGGAAACTCATTCCCTTCCTCTGCATCTAGTGAAATTAAGCTTGTCAGCCTTGTCTTCTCCCATCAGAGAGGATCCCCGTGCCCTGTCAAAGCCTGGAGTTTCACACCCCTCCGAAAACAGTATGTCAGATAGTGCAAACACACAGCTTCCCACAGAGCAAGGATCTCCTGTTCCACCTGATCCCAGCAGATTTGGCTCCCCTAAAGTTAGGGCTTCAGCCTCCAAGAGTCTCCTGGGCTCTCCCTGGAGCCACAGGTAACCTGGGATTGTGGAATACACCAGCCTCCCGAGAGAGCATCAGCCCCATGGCAGAATCTAAGTGTAGCCACCCAGAGGACAGCAGGTTCAAAGCCTTCCACAAGCCTGGAGCCTGATCCCTGTGATCCTTGTGAGTCACAGCTAATTTCTATCTCTTCCCAGTGCTGGTGGGACACACCTGGTGGCTGCCACCTTTCCCCACACACCAGTCAGCCCTGAGACTTTAAAACAGGCGACATGTCCCCAGCCTTGGATTCTAGAGTATCCTAGACGTGTGCACACTCCATGGGCAATCTGCACACAGGGAGGAGCGATGTCTCCAGCTTCCCCCAGAGGCCAGATGCCCCAATGCCCCAGAGCACAACAGAGACTCTGTCCCCTGGAGGAACGTGAGGGGTCTCTGCCCGTGCCTGCGGTGTGCTGTCCTCACGCAGGGACACGCTCTGTCCCGTGCGTGACTCCACCGCACCCTGCAGGTGAGGACACGCATGGCTCCATCTCAGCGCCCTCACACACCACCCAAAGCCCTCCAGCCCTCACGGCGCGCAGTGACATGGGGACACGGCCCGACCCCTTCCATCCCCCGGCACGCCCCATCCCAGCATGAGGAGGAGTAGCAGCACCAGCCCCCGTCCCCTCCAGAAGTGACAATAGAACCCCCCGCAGGTAACAGCGTGCACGGCCCTGGCCACCACGTCCCCGCGCGGGGACAGAGGGGTCCCGCAGCGGGAACACGCGTGGTCCCGATCCCGCGGACTCACCCCACCTACGCAGGCAGGAACACGCGTGGCCTCGGTCCCTCAGACACACCCGCCAGGGGGAACGTGAGTGTCCCTGATCCTTCAGTTCCCTCCCCGCGACCCCCAAAAGCAAGGACATGCGTATTCCCAGTCGCTTTATCTCCCTTTTCTCCACGCAAGCGGGGCGTCCGCGGCTCCTTCGATGCCCCACGGAGACGGCTACAGGCGTGTTCCGCTCACCCTGTTAGGCAGCGACCCGCGTCCCCCCAGGTGTGACACGCGTGGCCTCACCTGCGCGGAGTGCGGCCCGAATGCGGCGGGGCGGGCGGTGCCGCGGGTTCCGTAGCGCCCGCCACACCGCCCCCGCCTATAAGAGCGCGCTGCGGGACGGAGCCGCCCCAGCCGCCTGCAGCTGCACAAGGAGGTAGGTGGTGGGAGGGGGCTCCCACAGCTCCCTGCTCCCTCTCGCTGAGAACAGCCCTGCCGTGCTCCGAGGGGAGGACGCTTCCCATCTGCAGTTAACCCTCGGTTTCTGCTATTCCACCCTGTTACAGGGTCAGGAAAGTGCACCGAGGTTGCCCCCTCTCCCCTCTTTCCCTACCTGGGAATTGCAGTTCTGATGATTCAGTTTCCAGGGGACGGGATTTTTTAATTTTTTTTTCTTATGGAAAATACCAACCTGCAGCCCTGAGAACACAGCTAGGATTGCTGCTGGTTCTGCCACCGGGAGGTTTTGGCTGAGCACTTCCAAAAAATCCTTTTATCTCGATTCATTCTGGAGCAGGAAAATAGAGATTCTGTAATGAGAAACTTCTGGGATTTGGGCAAACTTTCTGCCTCCTTTGCCTTTCTCTCCTCCAAGTCCAGAATATTTTAAAATGTAAGATTATATTATCTATTTCTGCTGAACTGCTGATTGTTCCTTGAAGATGTTTCCAGTTTTCCCCTCCTCCATACACTGTGACAGAAGGAACCACAGGGGCTCTAAGGTCACAGCAGTGCTTGAGTGTGGAGGATGCTTTCCAAGGTGCAACAAGTTCAGTTTCTCCTACTGTGAGCTGTAGGCATCACTTTTCCACTTGAAAGCTGCAAAAATACCTGTAGGGCAATCAAGGGAGAAAGATGGGCAGACAGAAAAAGAGTTGTTTCCCTGGAAATTCTCTATAAAATGAGTCCCAGCATATGGAAATGCCAACATCCATTGGTGTTAGTTGAAAGTTAAATCTAAATTTAACAAGAGAGTATTCTTCATGTTATATTCTGGTTTTTAGTTTTTTAATCTCTGAAGAGTTTTGCTTTGGTGAATATGGACTTGGAAATCTTTTCTGCTTCATTGTATCTCATAAGAAATTTGGGCAAAGATACCAGGAAACAAGGAATTCAGGCCAATAAGATTTAATCTGCCCTAGGTTAAACTACTCATTTATTTCTTTTCTTGCAGCAGCTCCGACTGTTTTATGGGTGCTTTTGCTGGTCTTCAGTAGTATTGGGAATCAGCTACAGCTCCTGCTTGCCAGGTAATCATAGCACTTGAAGACTGCCTTTCTCCAGGTTTGGCTTTCCAAGGAAATAACCCAAAGCTGTTACAGCAAAATAGCCCCAAACATTTGTAAGAGCACACTACAGCTCTTAGTTTGTAACAGTCAAGCTAAATTCGGATCCAGAGCGGTTGTAAAATCTCCATTCCACTCTTTGTTGTTATTATCTGGGTTACTGGACAGAAAATTATTCTCAAATCAAATACTGCTTTATATATTGAAAAGCAATTCAGCTGTCCAAGCAAACTGTTTTATGATAGTTATTGTGATCCCCACTCACCTCTAGGGAGGACTAAGCATATTATCAGTTTTGGTAGAAAAGATCTAACCTGGGCACAGGGAAAAGGTGTGTAATTGCTGGAACTGGAGTGCTAGAGGAAGTTCAAAGTCATTTATGGGAATGACACATCTTTTCATTTTTTGTAATTCAGCTACCTTTAGGCTTGAGATGTGCTCACAGGGTTTTGAATGTTCTTTGGACCCTCATCCTGGGACTAGGGACTGCTTCTGGCCCCTCCGGACCAAGTGCAGGACCAATCCCCCCTCTTCCTCCTTCATCAGACCAGCAGCTCCTGGGGGGAAAACTTCTTGGAGGAAATGAGCAGGAATGGGAGAAATGGACTTTGTTCCACTTAGCACTGCTGGTCCTTGGCTGGGGATAATTTTGCTATTGTGAAATCCATGTTTTCAGTGGTTCCTTGTAATTTTGAAGGAAAATGCTTCTGCAATGGTCTCTGGCTTGGGCACTTCCCCCAAGAGTTCACCCCAAGGTAGAAAGCTGGCTGCACCTGCTGGAGGGAAAGACCCGGCCCTGTCTGGACAAGAGCTGCTCAACAGGTTCCTTCTCTGGGGCTGCTCCTCACACTGCAGCAGGACAGAGGCTTGTGGCTCCTTGGGCTGCCACAGTCCCTCAGGCTGCTGGAGCCCTGCCCCAGGCACCTCGTCTCTTCCACTGAGGGCTTTTGGGTGGTGTGTTCTCTACTGGGGAGTGTTCTGTCTTCCTGCCTGTTTGCAGCATTTCCTTGTCCCTCTGGGGACTCTTTTGGTGAACCTCCCTCAGCTGGCTATTCCAGAACTGAACTGCCACAGGCTGGAGGCATCCATGCAGGGAAGTGCAGGGCCCCTGCTGTGACCATGTCTCTCCCACAGGCTCCTGGAGGTGCAGGATGACTCTTTTTGATGGTGTCTACCCCTTCTACCCACAGCAGAGGAAGGCTGCTGTGTTCGACATCAGTGCCATCATAGTCATCGTGGTCTTCCTGGCACTGGCTTGCAGCTTCCTGCTCATCATCCCAGGCATCCGTGGACGGGCGGTGCGTGACCCTGGGGGTGGGCAACTGCTCCCCATGTTCTGGATGCTGGGACCCTCCTGGATAGTTTAGGGTGAGGCAGGAGGAGAGCCAGAACTATTCCTCCCTGCCTGATGTCCCATCTCTCTCCCTGCAGAGGTTGTACTGGACTCTCCGTATTCTCCTCAGCCTCTTCATGGGAGTGGTGATTGTCGGTAAGTGCTGTGCAGCCCTCGAGGATGGATCTAAGGGCAGGATTAAACCCTGGGATGGGGTCCATGTCCGGGAAATGTGAGCTGGGAGTCACAACCACAGCTGGTTGTGGGGTTTACCTTACCCTTGCTCTGCAAAGCAGTCACACAGCTTCCCAAAACAGCTTTCCCTTCCCTGGTGCAGGGGCTGAGGGCACTCGGAGGTGCCTGTGGTTACTCCTGGGGGTTTTGCTGACTGTAATTCAAACAGCCCCAGCTCCATCAGGCTGCACAGACCTATATTCCTCCAACTATGTGTAAGACCTGACACAGGCAGTATGCAGGAGCAACCACAAAAGCATGGATGAAATGCAAAGAGCAGATTTATTTTCATTACCTCACCCTCCAGGGGATCCCCAAAGCAGCACTGGGTAGAGACAAGGAGGGGACCAGCACCATGATGCTCAGTCTGTGCCAAAGGATCACCAAATTTGCTGTTTTCACGTGTGTTTCAGGGATTTGTGCAGGTGTAGTTCACTGATGTACTTTGATCTTTTCTCTAACAGGGCTGGATTGCAAACTTGTTCAATAGGTGATTCTGAGCTGTCTAAACACAGATGTTCCACTTCTCCAACACACAAGGCTAGACCAGTGGTTACTGTGATCAGTGGGTTTTTCTACACCCCAGCTACATTGGTTGAGTGTGTTTACAATCCTTCTCACCAGTTTTCCATTATTTTCCCCCGCTATGTGAGCCCTCTTGTGCTGCCTGGGGCTGTAGCCAGGCATGTTTGGAGATTGTGAGGAGCCTTGCAGTGATGTGGAGGGAGTAGGTTGGAATAAAACACAGGCAAGGCAGAGATTGCAGTGGGGTAAAGACCTCACTCTGACCACAAGGTCGGAGGAGATGAAGGAGAGGATTTAATTTAGTAAGAACCAGGAAATTTCCTGTAATAACTGATGGTAGAAACCAGGCAGTGGGATTTCCAACTCAGACAGGGCAACAGGATGGGTAAGGAAAGTTGTACTGAGGGGATAGAAGATGCCAGGTGGCAAGAGAAACCAGTCCTGACCCAAATCAAAGCATCCCTCCTGCTGTGAAGGACAAGATTGATTACAGGATGCTGAGAGAGGGATGGAGAGGGATAATGAAAACCTAAAAGATTCAGCTCTGATTTGACCAGGCACTAGAAGAAGGTAGCCAGACTGGGACTAGCTGCAGGACACGTGGACCATCCCAGCATGTGGGAGCCATGTCCAGGTTCTGGAGATGCCACCAGAGCCACCTGAGCACCTGGTGCTAGGCTGGAGGTGGCAGAGGGGTGGAGGCCAGGTCTGATTCCACAGCCGTATCCAGTTCAGCCCTGCAGAGCCTTCCAGCACCACTCTGTGACAAGGCTGCAGTTGGGCTCTGCTTGGGCACGTGGGAAGAACAAATTGTTCTGAAGCCAACATCAGAGTTTGTGTCTGGCAGCAGCAGGCCACACTCACCCCTGCAGCCAAAAAAACATTCCTGTGGAGCTCCCACTGCATCAATGCACTCACAAGTTGACTCAGCAACTGAACATTTTCTCAGGAAGGTTTTGTTCAGCCTGACATCAAATAATCGGCTTTACTTTCCCTGTTGGAAAATGAAGCCCACTGCAATGTGGAAGTGTTTCAGAAAAGGATACCTTGTTCCAAAAAACCGATACCAGAAAAGCTTCAAATTTTTCTTTTTTTTTTTCCAGCTGGAATGACTGCCCAAGCTGTGATGACCCTTCCCACCCCTCTCCACTGCCTCCTTTTGACAATGACTTTTACTGTTCACTAATAGTGCAGTTCAGGGAGCTGAATGTGTAAAATGAGACTCACCCCCGTTCCTGTGGCTGACAAACAAGCTCATCTCTGAACCCTGTCCCTGGGTGGTGTGGTTCTTGCCATGGTGGGGAGCTTGCAGGGAAGTTCTGGAGAGGATGTCCAAGGAGAAATCAGGTCATGATGGTTATCTCTGGGGATATGAGCTCCTCTGCTCCCAGATCCAGGGAGTGGATGCTTAGCAAGGGGAGGACCTGAGCTCTGCAGGGTGTGGGAGCTGGTTGGGGCACGTCCTGGTGGCTGAGTCAGCATTCCTGCCCTCCTAACACTCCCTTCCAGTACCATGGTGGGAATACTGCCACTCACCCATGATTCTCCCCTTGAGCACACCAAAGCCTGAAACCGGACCTGCTTTAACCCCAGCTTTCTTTTTCCTGGCAGTTGTCCAGTTCACAGGGGACTGGGAGACTGGCTGGGTGCAGGCAAACACCTCCTACAAGTCCTTCAGCCATGTCCAGGTGAACGTGGACATAGGGCTGCACATCGGCCTGGCAGGGGTGAACGTCACGCTCAGGGGTGAGTCTGATGCCCCCATCTGCAACTCTGGAGTGGCCATGGCCCCAGGAGGTCTACAGCTGCCCTGTAGGGACCCTTGGTCTGTCTAGAGGCTTCTGGGACCCTGCCATGCCCATGTTCCTGGCTGGCATTTTCCAGGTGCTGGCACAGCAGGACCTCAGCTTGTCTCTCCTGCAGGAAACCCAGTGAACCAGATCAATGAGACCATCAACTACAACGAGCACTTTCCCTGGAACTTTGGAGCAGATTATGACCACAGCTACAACGAGGGGCTGAAGAAGGGGCTGCCCAGCCCCATCCTCTATGTGGCAGAGAAGTTCAGCACGCAGAGCCCGTGCGCCGTGCACAGGCAGTACCGCATCGCTGGCCACTATGCCTCGGCCATGCTCTGGTGAGCCCTCCTGTCCTGGTGAGCCCTCCTGTCCTGCTGCAGCTACAGGAGATGCAGGGATGTGAAGAGCTTGGCTACCTTTCCCCTAGGCTTTTGGCATGGATGGGATTGCATCCTGCCAGGAGGGAAGCTGTGTGTATGGAGGGGTCCCTGCAAGGCACTGTAGATGTTTTAGGAGGATCAGAGAAGAAGTCATGATTCTCCTTGCTGGACAAATCCACAGGGCTGGGCACAGGAGAGAGGAAAGTGGTGCAGGTCCTTGCTGTGATGTGGTGATGATGGCAGAAGTCCATCCCCATGGATGGAGTTGAAGCTGCTGTCCGTGGTGGCCCAGAGAGGCCCATGGACACATGAAGAACTCTCCCAACCCTATCTGTGAATGGATTTTGTATCTAAGATTTGGATCAGGTGAGGAAAAGATGCTGCTGCTGTTACTGTGGAGTTGATCTTAACTCTTTCACAGGGTCGGAGATATGTCATTGCCCACTTGGGCTGGGGGAGAGCTGGTCCCCAGCTGGCAGGACATGGTCCCTTCCACCACATGTTGGCCATCAAGAGCCATTGCAGTGCTGTTCTCCCTGCTTGGTGTTTGACAGTGGGGACACAGAAACTGGGGAAGAAGCCCAGCAATATAATGGAACAAGAGCTCCTGGTCATAGCTGAGGCCTTCCTCTGTAGCCCAGCTCCTCAGCAAGTGCAGAGCAAATGACCTTTGCCTGCTCCTGCATTTATCTCAGTTGTGGGTGCTAGTCTCAGGGTCCGCGCTGCCCCATATGTGGAATGGCAGGAAATTGGGATGGTCCAGATACACTGAGTGGGCTGCCACAGCCTCCTTGAGGCTGGTACTGTCTGTAAACAATAGGAGGAGGAAGTCTGTGTTTCTGCCTTCTGGATATAGCAGTGTGAGCCTTGCACATGTGCTTGCTCAGCATGGGGATTAGGGGTCATTCCCGCCTGCCCACAGAGCTTCTCCACCTTGTACAGTGCACTTGAAGGCCAGATTCCTCCTTCCACATGGAAATCCTCACAGAGAGCATCCTAATCCATGGCACTCACACCACTTATCTCTTGGTCTTCTCTTGTCTCCAGGGTAGCCTTTTGCACATGGATCATCTCCAACATTCTCTTTTCCATGCCTGTCCTCGTTTATGGAGGATACATGTTCCTGGTCACAGGGGCCTTCATGATCTTCTCACTGCTCTCGTTTTCCACTGTGAGGAACTCCCCTATGTGCCTGATCCAGATTGGGACCAGGACCCTGCATGTAGCCTATGGGGGATCTTTCTGGCTCATGCTAGCAATTGGTAAGAACATCAGGGTTCCCCAGGTCATATCACTGTGTCCCTCTGTATGTACAAGAGTCCTAGTGCTTCCTTCCCAAGTTGGGAAGTGCAGCTACCCAGAGCCCCAGGCTGTGCCTTAGCAAAGCAGATCCTGGCAGAGATGTGGAGAGGGATAGGAAAAGGGGAAACATCATCCTCAACTCAAGGGCAATAGTGACATTTATAGTTCCTGAGGTACAAAGACATGGGATCACTTTCCTGGATTTTTAGACTTGTGCTTGGTTTTTAAGGATGCTCAGAACAGCTAATACAATAGAAAGCCATCTTCCATAACCAAAGGCATTGTCCTCTGGCAGAGGACAATCCAAGGAGAGCAGTGGGGTGGGGGCACTGTTGGAGTGACAGGAACCCAACTGAGGGCATGTTTGTTTCCAGGCCTGCTCTGTTTTGTGGTTGGAATCACCATTGTGGCAATGCACCACCTCAATTTGAACCTGCTGAAAACTTTCTTTGATCTCCGTGAGGACAAAGCAGAGGAGTACCAGGAAATGCCTGAGGTGTTCATCAACCCTCATTTCATGAACAAGGGCCTGTCTCCTTCTCAGCCCTCTGAAACCAACAGCATCTAAAGGAAAGTCCTCATTCTCTCCCTGAAGATGGACCCAAAAGGGCAGAACAAATTCTTCTTGATGTCCCCAGAGATGCATTTCCCCGTCCAACTGCCTTTGAAGTCCACATTGGGATAGGTCCTTGCTGGGAAGTACTTTCACAGACTGTGTCTCCCTGACAGTGCCCTCTGGAAGGAGCAGGCTGTGCTGGCAAGCTGCCATCAGAGCAGCTCACAGCTCCAGAGATTTGAGCTGCACACTCACCTGGGAATCCCTGTGCCAGGAGGAATGCCCTTCCTGCTCCCTGCCCTGCCCCATGGGGCACTGCATGGATTTGCCAATGGTCTGTTCCTGCTGAAACTGAGAAACAGCTCATGGGTGACATTTCTCCCTGAGAGCATTCTCCCTGCTCATTTCTTTCCCAAAGATGACATTTTGTGGCTTAGGTGTATCTAGGAAAGCCAGGCATGGATCCAACTTCTGCAAGCTCGATGCTGCACAAGCTGGAATAAAAAAAACCTGTTCCACACTGAGTAAATGTACCATGGAGTTTGCTGTGGGGGATGTGATGATGTGATTCTTTTCACCTTCAAATTTGACCTTTATTAGAGAAAACTTGTAGTCCAGTGTGAGCCAAAAAGATGCCATAGGAAAGGAAGGAGGGTGAAGAATGAAGTTATCCCAGTCCAGCTGGAGCACACTTAGACTGTCTGGGCAGCAGGGGAGGGAGGGCAATCTGTCCCTCTGCCTCACTCAGGTGAGACCCCACCTGCAGAGCTGCCTCCAGAGAAGGACATGGAGCTGTTGGAGACAGTCCAGAGGAGGCCATGGAGATGCTCTGAGGGCTGGAGCCCCTCTGCTCTGGAGCCAGGCTGGGAGAGCTGGGAGTGCTCACCTGGAGAAGAGAAGGCTCCAGGGAAACCTTACACCCCTTCCAGAGAATAAAGGGGCTCCAAGAGATCTGGAGAGGGACTTTGGACAAGGGCCCATGTGACAGGATGAGGATAACTTCTGGCTGCCAGAGGGCAGGGTTAGGTGGGATATTGGGAAGGAATTCGTCCCTGTGATAGTAGTGAGACCCTGGCACAGGTTGCCCTGAGAAGCTGTGGCTGCCCCATCCCAGGAGTGTTCCAGGACAGGTTGGATGGGGCTTAGAGCAACCTGGGATAGTGAAGGTGTCCCTGCCCATGTCGGGGGCAGAACAAGATGAACCTTAAGGTCCCTTCCAACCCAAACTATTCTGAGATTCTATAACTGAATGCTGGAAAGCTGGGCACCTTCATTCCAATTAATTGTAAAGTACACAATTTCAACATTTTGACTTTTCTTTCTGAGATCCTTGCTGGTAAGTTACTTATTTCTGTCAGATAATACTTGTGTGCCACTAATGTGGTTTGTTCTGTGCAGGAGTTATTTTCAATAAAAGTTTACTGAAACTCCTCTCTTTTGAAACACTGTGGACATTTAGGGGGCTGGTTTCTTAAGAAGGAGCCATGGGGCACATCATAAGGTCACTTCTGGCAAGCCTCCAGCAGCAGCATCCTTCCCATGGGAATAAATGTCTTGTTGGCACATTTCAAGGTCACTCACTAAGAAACCTTTGTCGTGAGGAGCTTCGGGAATGTAGGAGAGCCTCAAAAGGACTTTAACTAGCTGAGTGCTATGGCTAAAGCTGTAAGATTGAACCAGCAAAATTCCCTTAGGAAAAGGAGGACCCTTCTTTGAGAATTTCTTGCATCCGGACACGTGAGGTTTGAAGGTATTGATGGGAAGATGGTACAGCAAAACACAAGTTATTAGGGCTGGTATGGGACAGATCCCATGACCTGAAGACACAGGAGGCTGGGAGGTTTTACAGCCTTTTGGCCATCACATCTGGCTCTCTCCAGCTTCATGTCCTGCTTTAGGGCATGATTCCTGCCCAAGAGCATCCTCAACAGAAGGAAAACTTTGTCCTCTTGTGGCAGACATACAAGAGCATGAACCCAAATAAATAAAACTTAAAAGGCAGGAACACACGGGAAAGGTTTATGATGCCTGAATTTCAGTTGACTAAACCAAAGGGATTTATTGCACCTTGGATCTAGTCCATCTGTAGGCTGGAGCAGCTCCTGATGGATATCATTTGGGCTGGCTGAGATGTCCCAAGCCAAAGGAGTTCAGCTCCAAACCCTGTTGGGTCCTCTAAGTTCTCATTCAAGGCTCTTCCTACCGGAATGGGATGGGACAGGATGCCATGGCTGAGCTCCTCCTCCCCAGAGAGCCTGGCCCGTGGTGCTTCTTCTGCAAACCTCTCTGCAGGGCTGGAGGGAGCTCCCATCAAACTTCCCACATATTCAGGGGCACATCAGAAACTAAAGTTCTCCCGTATTCCCCCTGCTTGTTTGCTGGGGATATTCGAATACCCTATTTAGGGTGCACTGCCTTGATTTCATTGCCCTGTGCCAGCTGACCATGGTTAGGTGCCCCATTCAGGACCACAAAAGGGCTCTGCCTTTTCTTTATCCCTTCCCTGTGACTGCCATGTCGCAGCAACAGTGTTCAGAGGAATACCTCTATCAACAGGCAAGTGAAAAGGCAAGTCAAACTCATTTTATTGAGATAGAGGGGAAAATAAGTGAGCACAAAACAGAAAGAAAGGGTTGTGAAATCATCAGAGAGGTACAGGGGTGCAAAGCTGAAGCGTGCACCCTTCCTGCCTGTGTGGGCAAGGGTTCGGGTGGCTGCCTTGGGTGTGCAGAATGTCAGTGGCTCTTTCCCCTGACATGAGTATTTCCACAGCTGAGCAGGAGGAACCCAGACTGGAGGTGCTGCTCACGTCTCCCTAATTGGTTATAGCTGATCTCCAAGGCACTGTTGCACTTCCTTTCCCACCTCCTCCTCTCCTTCCCTCCCTCCTGGCCTGGTACTTCCAGCATCCTACTAAATTGTGCTCCTCTTTGCCATCCTGCTCTTCACCTCTAACTAAGAGGAGTGCTGGGTACAGGGCACCCTGGGGAGCACAGCTCCATCTGCACTTCCTGACTGCTGATGGGAAGAGCATCCAAGGGCAGGGGGACTTTCTGAGGGTCTTCAGTGTGAGGGGGCTGTTGTGGGCTCTACTTCTTTGATTCATATATATGAGACTGCAGTTACTTGCTTTCTCCTCAGTTGGTTCTGATTTAATCTCTGTGTTCTGGGGAGGACTCAGGGTTTGTTGGGATAGACCGAGGGGAAGGGCAGTAAAACAGAAAAAAAAAAGGAAAAAGAAAAAAAACCTAACTGTTGTATTTCAGACACTCTTTCAGATCTGGATATTCTCATCACTTGATTCTTGTCATGTCTCTTCCCACCTGGGCTCCTGATGGATTTGGTGAATTCAGGAGCAGCATCTCCAGGCCTTGCCCTGCCTCCCCTGTGCCTCAGAGCTGGGTGGCTGTCACATGGCAGAGCTCACCAAAGGGGACTATAAGCCCATCCTGTGCAGAGCAGCTGGGCTTGGATGGCAGGCAGAACTTGTCCCACACCTCCTCTTTGCTGTTCTTGTCCAGGCTAAAGATGAGCTTCAGCTTCTCTGGCTGCACGGAGTTGAGGATGATGATGCCCAGCCCCAGGAGCAGGCACAGCAGCCCTGCAATGCACAGAAATACACAGGACACCACTGGAGGAATCCTGCTGGGTCCCAGCTCCATCCAGCTGCACACCAGGGACATGTGCCATCACCCAGCAGGTAAGGCAAAGGTGTTGATTTGTCTTTCCCCATCTCGATTCTAGCATCACTTTGGGCTCCCCAGTACAAAAGAGAGGTCGGTGAACAGGGGCAGAGAGTTGGGGCTGGAGCCCACTATGCACAGGGAAAGGCTAGAGGGCCTGGGCTTGTTTAGCCTGAAAAAGAGGAGTATCCAGGGGCAATTAATTACCATCTGCTACTGGAAAAGGGCTGGTCTCCCTGGAGATGATGTAACATGGAAAATTCTGGTTTGATCAAAGGAAACAATTGCTGCTGGGAAGTGGAGCAGGTCCTGAAAGTCAGAGGGAATCTCTATCCAGCAGGTAACTTCAAACATTCAAATCTCTTGACTGCTCATCTTTTTTTCTCCCCAACCCTGGTAATTCTGATCTAAAATCTTCTAACCTGTAACTATCATCTTATGTGACCATCCATGGAGAAAGAAGGGATTAGGAGCTGTTGGGGCATCATCTCTATAGGGATGGAGAAGAAAAGCCCCAGAAGCAAGCTGACCACTCACCTGTTGCTAATGTCAGCCAAAAGGATTCACCATAGTCTGTTTTCAAGGAAACTGGGCCGAACTGGATGGGGCACTTCAGGGTGTTTCTTACGGTAGAGAAGAGGAGCAGTGAGAAGAGGATCAAAGTGGCAGTGAGCAGAAGCATGTGGCCACCATAGAGCAGGATGGACATGGAGAAGAGCAGGATGGAAATGAGCCATGTGCAAAAGGCCAGCCTGCAAAAGGACCACAAAACTGAGCAGAAAACATCAGGCTTGGAGTATCTACTCAGGGTCTCCTCTCCATACCCTAATGGAGGGATAAAGCCTGGGCAACCTCGTCTAGCTGGCCTTGCTTCCACAAAGAGATGGACAGCCTGATCTAAAGAATGCCTTACAACCCAAACAATTGTGTAATGACATGAGTGGTGGAGCTGTGGGACAGATTCCACTACAGTAGAGAGGGATCTCCACACTGGGAATGTTCAGTAATGAATTTCCTGAAGCCCCCAAGCACCTTGGTATGGCTTTGGCATCAGCCCTGCTCTGGGTATGGGACTGGAGTAGAAATCTCTGGAGGTTCCTGTGAGAGACTGAAATATTAATGTTTGATAGCTCAAACACTTGGCCATTTGCAGAGGCAGCAGGTGCTTTGCTGGGGCTACGTTCCCCCCTACCAGGGGGGAAGAAGGGGTTTTGGGTGTGTGGTGGCATGATGTGCATAAGACTGAGGACCCACACTAGAAGCTCTGGGTTTGGAGCCAGATGAGGGAGAAAGCTGATAAGAAGCAGGCCCTGGAGAGGCAGGGTGATGTTTTTCATCATGCCAATGTCTTCTCTTACACAACTGGCTCAGTTGAAAAACTCCCCCTCCCTTCCGGGAAGGTCCCATTCCCACCGGCCATTCACACCCCTGCCTGAGGGTTTTCATCCCTTCTGGGGGGGCAGAACTGGTTCAACGCTGGCGTGAGAGAGCAGGGTCGTGTCTTAGAAGGGATCATAAACCATCGAAAACCCCCAAAGCACCCCGAGACTCTGAGCCCTTCTACCGGAGGAATACACCTGATCCACAGCGTTGCA